ATATAATATTAGACTTGGTATAGTATTAGTTTCAATAAAATGTTAAAAGGAAGTTGTTTGTAACTACTATGGGAAACGATTTGTTGGATGTGCCCACTTTATGTACACTCTTGTAGATGAAATTTTTGCCATCCCCTCTCCTTAAGGGGTAGTTATTTGCCTGTGTTGTGCCCTTGTTCTTACTTTGTCGTTTAACTTGATTTATAATGAGTTTTGTACTGCCAAATTTGGCAGATAGCAGCCAATAATGCTTTCCTTAATTCTTATCCTGTCCAGCAGATAATCTCCATTATTTCCTGTGTTTTGTAATGAAGTACAGTAAAACCTAATTTTGATGGTAGTGACTTTTTAATTTTAAATGCTGAAGTATATAAATCACTGAGACAAAAGCCATGCAACATGGGAGGGAAGGGTGGGGAAGGAAGTGTATGGCTGTTTATTCTAGCCTTGCATTTGATTTTCTGCTGTAGGCACACTTTTTGTGAGGTTTATTCCAAGGTTAAGCTGGAACTCAGCTTAATATTTCCCGCATCTTTTCCTTTAATTTTAATGCTTGTTAATATATGGGTAGTGGTCTCACTACTTATTTTTGTATATTTTATGGCTCAGAAAGCTTTTTAAACATCTTTCATGTCAGTCATTCAGAGCTGCTGATGGTTGCTGTTGGTAAAATTTGCCAGAGGATTTGTCTTGACCTTTTCACGTAGATGTTTGTCTGTCTAAATTACCACAGTCTTTGGTATCTCATGAGGACTGATCTGGGTGACATACTGCAGCCTTGCTACCTCTTTAAGGCTGCTTACTAAGATCTAATGCTAAATGTACTTGAAATAATTACACCTTAGGAATGGGGAACCTTTAAACTCGAATATTAATACCTGCAATTAGGGAATGTATTCCCACAATCAGGTGGATTTCTCTGAACTGCGGACTGCATTTAATCACTGTTGTGTTCCTTGTGTGACGTGAGTTACTGCTCCTATGAATCAATGCACTGACACTGCCAGCTAGAACTCAGTTATTTGAACACAGTTGTTTGTGTCTACTTACCTCATGCAGTAGTTACTCTGTTGATATTTCCACTTTGGGTTTTCTGGAACTTCAGGGGGAAAACGCAGCATTTTTTCATAGATAGATAAATATTCTTTGTTTTTTTGGAAAGCCGCCTGGATCTGCATGCACACCTTTACCTCTGCAGCCCGTTTATGACCGAATTAGTGAAGCTTCTACCTTTAGTTAGAGTGCTCTGGGAGGTTAATGAATTACTATTTCTCCTTAACCAAAAACCTCATCTTACTAGCTCCTCTCTATTTAGAATATTGTTGGCACTTACATTACAGATCTGTTTCCATTCTGGTAAGAGCGGGATATCACTGCTCTTCTTGTGAGGATTTTAGAGCCTTGTATGTAAACAATTTTTTTTTTTCCTCTTTCTGTCATATCTTCTTCTGTGACTTTTCCAACTGAGAATATCCTTTGGTGATAATGAAGTTGCTTTAAAACGAAACTATTTTCCTTAATAACAGCATGTATTGATCTTTGAGCTAATACATTGTTTTTTCAGATTCCTCTTTTACACTGATTAGTACCATTAATTGAAAATGTGAAGAATCTGGGCATGTCTAGTAAAGGGCATTAAATCTGGATTACTCCCTAAGTAAATTTTCAGTTCCAGCTTTTACTTGACTGTTTTGTATGATAAAGCACCAAATTAAGAGTCGTAAAAGAACATCTAAATAAGAACAGCAAAATAAGCTCAAGGCAGGCATAATATTTAAATAAGGCTTGTGCCCCAAAGCAAGCAGCTTTTCTAAAGGAGCAATGAATTTGTGCATGTGATATGCCAAAGATGTTTTTTACTCAAACGTGCACATTCATAAAACATATTAGTTACATTTACAGGTAGGTAACTAAGATACTTGGAAATTAGTGGCATGGTTTGTAGATAGACTGTCTAATCTGAAAAATTTCTGCCCTTTTTTTTTTTTCCAGGTAGTGAGACTGTTAAAAACATCTCCAGAGAAACCTATAACATTAGCAATCGGTGATGGTGCTAATGATGTGAGCATGATACAAGAAGCACATGTTGGCATAGGTAACTTTCTTTTGTCAGAAGAGAGAGCGGCAAATAAGATGCCAATTTTAGTAGAGAATTAGGTCTTGAGTAGTGTTTATAAGCAGATAAACTTCTAACGTTTTTGCTCCTGTGAATGGCAAGCTGTTAATCTGAGTCATCTGTTGTAGCAGAGTTTTAGTGAAATTTAAAATTTAAGGCTGTTTGCTTTCAGAAGTCTTAGGTTTATTGTGTAGTCTACCAATAATTAGAGGTCCTGATTAATGCTGCCTTAGGAACAGCAAAGATTCTCTGTAACTAGAATCTCAGAAGTACTCCACTTTGGATACTGGAAGTGGATATCTCTAACTTCAGACATTGTCAGGATCTAAGTTACTGTGTAAATTTGACCTTTAAACCTTTCTTTGTGCTAAACTGCCACTGTTTGCACCATGTCTGTATCACTATAGAAATGCCATTTGTGTCTAGTTTGTCTTTGAGGAGAAGGCTTTCATTATATCTTTTGAGAGACTGTTATTGATTCTCAGCCAAGCTTGGTAGTTTTCTCTGTTGATATTGTTTTCTGTTATCTGGCCAGGACTTTAAACTTTTTTTTTCTGCTGTGTTATATATAACTGAGTACCAAACAAAACTTAGATATAACTGAATTGGTACCCATCACATAGTGTTTTGATATTTCCTTTACTGACTTTGTTGAATGGTGTTTGTGCTGAAGGTTCTTACATAAGGTATTGGTACATCAGGATATTCAATCTGTCACCCTTTGTGATTAAAAAGGTGTATGTAATGTTTATCATGTAAATCACGTGGCCATGATTTTTAAGGCCATGGGTATAGCCTGCTTGAGAAGGTTACAGGCCAATAGCAAATGATGCTTTATTCTACAGCTAGTTTGTCAACTAACTGAAGTTTATTAAAAATAAAATTATCTGAGTTTTTATTGTAATTTGTAGCATATTGGACAATACATGTACGTTGGTCAGAACTAGCCAAGTCTTTGCCATGGAGGGTGAACAGGACCTTTAGACTAATTTTTTTTTTTTTTTCAAAAGCAACCAGCACTTTGAAGTGTCTGATTTTCAGGAATCCTGGGCCACTTTTCTTCTGTAAAAGAGCATTTTGTGTTCTCTGTGTATGCTTATCCTAATCTTAATAATAGGTTTTAGAAATGAATTTTTGTTCAGCTGTGACAAGTGACAAGCATTGTCAGCCCATCAGATTAAGTAAACTGCTATTGTAAGAACAGCATTTCTTTTATTCTCCTGTTGAGTATAAGTCATATATTATTCCCAGAAAGCGCTGTAAGGAAAACCTCTCTGAAGTAAAACATACTAAGTAAATTGATAATTGATGATGGATTGATAATGGTTTGCTTGGTTTGGGAATTTTGGTTTTGTATGAGTGTTATTATTTCTACGTCTTCCCATAAATCTTTTCTTAAGCATAGCTTATGGAAATAGTGTTGTGGGGGGTTTGTCTGTTTGTTGTTTTTTGTTGTTGGTGTTGTTTTTGGAGGTTTTTTTTGTTGTTGTTGTTTTTAATTGAATCAGCATCAAATGAGCAGTTTCCCGTAGTTGTAAGTGTCAGGAATAATGCCTTCTTTTGGAACTGAAAGTTGCTGCTGTCTTTATAATGTTGAAGTGCAGGAATGTATGTTGTTGGTTTTTTTAAACTTTGATTTTTATAATGTTTAACCTGTTTTCTGTTTTGTTTCCCAAATATTACAGGAATCATGGGCAAGGAAGGAAGACAAGCTGTAAGAAACAGTGACTATGCAATAGCACGGTTTAAATTCCTCTCCAAGTTGCTTTTTGTTCATGGGCACTTTTACTATATTAGAATAGCAACCCTTGTACAGTACTTTTTTTATAAGGTAAGTCGTCAAAGAGTGCCAGTGAAGCTCACAGAAAAATGTGTAACTTCTTTCCAGCAAGAAATTTATTTCAGATCTAACATTTTTGTTTGGAACAGGTTAAATATCTCTGTTTTCTGGGCTTTTTTTATATTCTACAACCAAATGCAGTAGTTTAACTATGAAATTGTTTAGTACTTCCACCTAGAAGTAGGTTTTAAATACCACAATAAGTTTGCCTATGCTGAGAGGCGGACGTGTTTGCTCTCTGAAAGCAGTATTACTAGCTTGAAATTAAATGCGTTCTTTAGCAAGATGTAAAAGTATAACCTTTTTTGTTTATTGATTTAATATGAACCAAATCCATTCACCTTTCTTAAAAGGAAAAAGGAGCACAGGAAGTAGTTGAGGGAGGGAAGGGTCCGCAGAAAGTGTGAGGGGAGGGAGCATGCTCTTTGCCGGCAGTCTCACCTTAAGAAAACTGAACAGTCCCAGCCTTGACTTAAGAAATCCTGAGGTGAAACACTGCAAGGGAAGTAAGCACCAGGGACTGAATTATCTCCAGATACCTCTCGGGGAGCTATGGGCACGGAGCAGCAGGGTGAGCTTATGCAAAATGCAAGAGGGGAGGAGTCGGGGGACAGGCCTGGGACCGCAGTCCTGGGCTGGAGTGTTTGAAATGCTAGTAATGTCAGGGTTTTTTTGTGTGGTTTTTTGTTTGGGTTTTTTTTTTTTCTTGATCATCGGTTTTGATAAGAAGTCAAAATTCACTCTCTTTCTTGAAATTTATCTGAGATGCTAGCAGTGGCCACCAAGCCACTTTTTATCTTCCATTGTTTGCTTTCATTTAAAGATAACAGCGTGGTGTTAGGTTTTGGTTCTACTCCCATGCAAAAAGCTCACATGAGCAGGGCACAGGCTTTCTTGAATGAAATGGGGAAACTATTTTGCAAAGAAATTCTTAAAAAGAAACTGAGTGGAAAATGGATGGATTTCTCCTCCTTTAATACTACTTGTATTCCCATAATGAGATGTGTTCATCAAGCACATAGAATTAAGTTTATATTTTTCAGGTTCATTGTCCCAAAGGACAAACAAAACATGCTCTTGAGCAAAGCGTATTGCTTTACTTGGCCAAATAAAATGCTGAAATGCTTTATGCTCTCCCTGTGTATTTTTACCAGCTTGTAAGATTTAGCAATTTCTTTTAGCGTTATGAGGCATATACTGGCGATTAACTATTTCCTTCACTTTTCTTTTTTCAGAATGTGTGCTTTATTACACCACAATTTTTATATCAGTTCTTCTGTTTGTTTTCACAACAAGTAAGTATTGGATGCCTTACATCTTGGTAAATGTGTATGAAACACTCAGGATAAATAACTAAAAAAATGGGAAAGAACTACCCAGGAGCAGCACAGATTTTACACTTAACAAATATCCAGCTTCATTTTCTATATTTGATAGCTTGATGTTACTAAATGGTTATGTGAGTATAGCTTTTTTCTAACTAGGAAATTCACGTAATTAATGATTTGTGGCTGTTATTTGTGTGCTAATAAATTTTAATAAGCAACTTTTTTCTTTACAAGACTCAAAATGATTTTTGTTTCCATTTTCAGACGCTCTATGACAGTGTATACCTGACTTTGTACAATATTTGTTTCACTTCCTTGCCTGTCCTCGTATACAGTCTTTTTGAACAGCATGTGCATCCGCATGTATTACAGAGTAAACCTGTGCTCTATCGGTATGTGTATCTTACATATATTGTCACAGTAACACATCATTTAGAACAACGGTGGCATCTGCAGAAGTTTGAACTTGCTGTTATGCATTCCTACAGTATTTTTATCTGTAATTTATGCAATTTTTAGTAACTGTCTTGGTGAGGAAGAACTGCAGCTACATAGTATTCATCCTAAAAGTTAACTAACATGAGTATTTTGAGAAGCATCTTTTTACGTCAGTCATGTTAAGACTGGAAGAGAATTGAGCACTTGATCAGCTTACATGATTGGCAGCCTTCTCCTCCATTACATGTAGGAGGTGAAAATCACTCAGATATGCAAATGGAAAACTAGGACACTGTGGTTAGCGGAATCACCACAAAAAATACTTTCTATCCTGTAGAAATAGATGTCCTCCCAGTGGTAGCATGTTGTACTGCATACTGCTTTTTGGAGAAAAAAGTATGTATTTTTGTAAAAAAAAGAGGTGTCTCTCAGATGTTTCTTTTTTCCTAAAGGTCTTTTAAGCAGAACAAGGGGCAAGCATCGGGAGATGTGGCTTTTCTTCCTCTTGCAATTTCACCTCCGGAGAGAATAATTCTGGGTTTTGCTATTCTGAATTTGACCCATTAGAGACACCCTTGCCATTGATGATCCCTGCGTTAAGCAGAGGCAAATCATGAGAGCTCAGAGTTCTTTTTTGCCCACGGTTTATGTATTTTTTTCATATGTCAGCATTCGTTAAAGGTATCTTGGTGCAGTTGAAAGTTACATTTATTCAAAGCAGTAGCAATCACGCAATGTGAATGCCTAATGGGTTATATAAAGACAATCTGAAATCCAAAATCTGTTTTATTTCTGCAGAGATATCAGTAAAAATGCCCATCTGGGGTTTAAACCGTTTCTTTACTGGACCATCTTGGGCTTCTTTCATGCATTTGTTTTCTTTTATGGCTCGTATCTTCTAATGGGAGAAGACACTTCTCTGCTGGGAAATGGCCAGGTACAGTATCATAAGAATTACTCTACCACTGTATTTTTGGTGATATTTCTTCATGTTTTTTTGAAAAATCCTCTTGTGTCAGAAAAATCTAAGTTTTGTTTATTTTTATGGACTACATAATTAGCAAAGATGCTTTACCAATATTCGTGTGTGCTCTCAAGAGTAACATTTAGTGTGGGAACTAAGACATGTTGTCAGGAAGTGTGTGTCTATGAAGAACATATCTTTCAAGATAATAAATGTATTATGGTTACCTTAAACTTTGTTTTATTTTATATACTGTCTTTGTCAAAATCATATGTCATAACTTCAGTAAATGAGAATTTTGAGTTGGACTTAATTGCAGTGTCAAACAATGACCTCTCTTTAGCATCTGTTATAAAATTAGGCTTAAATCTGGAAGTTGCCAAAAGTCTTAAAGCTTCTCCTGAAAATGTATTATTTTAATTACTCAGATTTTTTAAAAATTAAGTTGTCCGAGCTGCTTTTAAATTATACTTTTTATTCAATAAATGTTTTTAAGACAATAACTTAATTAAATCATCAAATACTAATTTGCCACTTTCTATTTTAAAGATGTTAAAGTTAACAGGAAAAATCATATGCAAAAAACTCTAAAGCTTGGATGAAACCATTACAAGTCTGTTTCCTCATTTTCTCTGGTTCTCAGTTAGTTAACCCAATTTAGAACAATTAGATACTGGTTTTTCTCATAAAACTGTTACGGGTAACGATGCAAAAATACGTTTGTTTCTCTCATTATGCCATTCTTACTACTGACATGAAATGCTTGCTCATTCTCGTGTAGCGCTTGGTAGAGTTGCAAGTTATGGCACAAGGTACAAAAATAGCATCGTGCTGTGTTCACAGTGGTCACCTGGTGATAGGGAGCGGGCATGAGCTCAGGAAGTTTAGCAAAAAAAAGGGTTTCCATATAATGATGTACAGACAATGGCCAGAACTGTCTTGAGTGACTGAAATCAGAGAGCATGTGAACTGGTGGTTAGCATCCCTGCAGAGAAAGGAGCAAGAAAGGGGGAGTGGTGCAGCTATTTCATCATGAGATGTTTGGCAAGAACATTAAAATAGTTGTGCTTTAGACCAGAATGTCTCTTACAACTGAGGTATGAGTGTGTCCTCTCTTGTCATTTGTTACAAGCTGTATGACTTTGAAGTTCTTGTGAATTGGTGAAGGACCTTCAGTACTCTTCTAATGAAGTAATTTTACACTTTGAATCAGTGCGTTTCTGTGCATCTGTCTTAGTTGTCAAAGCACCGCACTCCAAAATTGCTTAGTAAATGTCCACAAGGCAGGAACAGAGTTTTTTCATTGTATTTAGTAACAAATGCTTAGTTTGGGGAACAGATTGTATCCTGTAAGTCTAGACCAGTGTGTTAATGTAGACTGTAGGGAGAAGGTTCTTTTAATGGCTTCTTGTATAAATTAACCTCAAGATGTTTTGAATATGCTTAGTGAAGCTTTCAGATGCCCTTTGGCTTCTCATGTTTTCTGTGATGTGACTTAAAAAAAAAATCTTAGAATTTATTTGGAGTTATTCTTTACCTCTCTGTGGTTGCTGAAAGATGGTTATTGGAACTGGTAGAACTGTGTGTCACAGTAAAATATGTGCGGTGCATAAAGTGTGTTGCAAATTTAATGTGTGCCTGAAAAAGCCAAAGTTAAGGGCAAGAGAAACCATGTACTGCTGAAGTGCTTTCTTGTAAGAAGTCCTCAAGAAGTGATCACTTTGTGCGAATGTGTGATACTGTCAGTGCAAGGCCTCACACTTTCATTCCGAGCTCTCAGTTTGGAGCAAAGCAGAACAGAAGAGATTGTAAATAATTTGTTAATGCCAGTGGTTTGTTAGGCTTACCTCAACACATTGTGCAACAACTTGATCTTTTAGTTCTTTTTTCTCCCCCCTTTTTCATGCTGTGCATGTCGTCAGATACTGAAACCTAACAGGCAAATGGTAAGAGTTCAGAAGAGGAGGAGATACAAAATATTGTATCTGTTACTTCACAGGATTAAAGGATGCAGCATCCACAGTGTAAATGTGTTCAAAAATAAAATGGTGGCAAGAACCTGTTCATTTTTGCATTCTAACTCTGTGGCCATTGAGAGCAGTGTTATGAAAGACACTTTCTTTCACAGGTCACTCGGGAGCAGTAGTCTAATTTTACTTCAAGATTATTATTGCAGCAGTTAACAGCAAGCATGTTGCTTGTTTAAACATTACTATTGGTGTGAAAAGTAAATAGAAGGCTTCAGAAGATGTGTTACAACAAAGATCTTTAAAATTATCAGTAAATCCAGACTCATGGCTGCCTCCATTTTGTACCTTGTGCAAAGATGAGAAAGCGGTTGTGAGATCTGTCATCAGACTATTGGAATGTTTTTTTGTCAGAGCTCTGTAACAAGGACTACAACTGTGTGTGAATCCCAGTTTCATGCCTCTGTGCTGTACTAACAAATCAACTCTAGGATGACTTTTGCCTGTCTGCATGTGGTACCTTTCTCCTTGCTTGCTTAGTTTGCTAGCAGTAAATACCGAGTTGAGGGTTTGGTCATTGTTCAGTATGTCAGTGGCAAAAATAGCTATGAAACAGCAATGTCTTCAGTTTCAGCACCCAGACTGCTTACAAGAGCAGAGCAGTTGGACCTGTTGTAGAATGGCAGCGTGTGTCTGAGTAGCATGTGTGTAGATAGATTACGAACTCAGCATCCCTGCTTGTCAGAGCTGAGATTTTATTGTTGTAGAACTTGTTCAGAGTTTTGATAGTTTCATTTACGTGGGCAAGAGAATACGAAAGTGACAGATACAGTGTTTTAGAATTGAAGCTTAATTTTGTGTTTATTAGCCTTGAAACAAAGTGTCTTTTCCTTAGAATTTTATTTGAAAAATACAACGGCACCATTATTTTTGAATTGTAAAATTGTGCTTGGGGTAAAAAGTGAACTTTCAGGTGATGCTGCATGTTGAAAATGATCTGGAAATGTTTAAACTCAAAGTGCTTTGCACTTACTTTAAAGTGAATACCTTCCACCCAATATTTGTTTTCTATTGGATGCTTATGCTTAATTGATCAAACTGATATCTTCATTTTCATGTTACTGTTTTGGACTTTCTTCATATTTCATGTAGCCTTTGTGGTGATTTGTTTTGAACCAAGAAGGAAGATGACTTGTGGATTGTTAATTTTGCTCTTATCATAAGCTGTATTTTTTTTCTAGTAGATTGTGTTGTATCCTCCTTGGTTTTTCGTGATACTAGTTGTTACAAGCTTATGTTCACAGACTTGTTTCATTAGTATAGCTGACTTGAGAAGAATCTAACTTACCGTGAATGCTCTTAACTGATTTTTTTTTTTCTTCCATGATTTTTGCCTTGCCGTTTTCTTAGATGTTTGGAAACTGGACGTTTGGTACTTTGGTCTTCACCGTTATGGTTATAACTGTTACGATGAAGGTATGATGATATACTAATTACTCCTTGTGTTTGGGTATATGGGCAAATATGTAATAGAGCAGTAACTTAAAATTGATTCAAAAGTTATACAGAAGTAATTGATTCTTGAGTATTCCAGATAAGTGATTTTTAATGTTTGGTTTCAATGTTGGTTAAGATTTTTCTTTGTAGTTTTTGCGTGTTACAACAATATTTAGTGTTTGAGCTGGAAGTTCATAAGTACGTTCAGACCAGTATTTATCATTTTGTGTGTAGTGGGGGGAGAAAGGAAGTTCATTGAAGTTATCTTTGTTTTAGATGGCACTAGAAACTCACTTCTGGACATGGATAAACCATTTTGTTACTTGGGGATCCATTGTATTTTATTTCATATTCTCCTTGTTTTATGGGGGAATTATCTGGTGAGTGATTATTATTTTTTTCCCTCTCCTTTCTATAGCACATATGATAGATGAAGCTGTGAAAGAACACTGAAGTATTATGTTCTACCATGTTGCTCTGAATTTTGTGACAGGTGTCGGAAAATAGATTTTTAAACCTAGAGCGGCCACTTGCTTTTGGTGATTCTTTTAGAAATTTGAGCAATGCTGCTAAGCTGTCCTGTGCTCCAGGACAGAAATTAGTTGTCTCTGACAGCCTGTGACTATAAAAGCATTTTTGTTTTTAAAAAACCCAAAAACCTCTTGTTCCCAAAGCTGCTATGTAATAGGTAAGTGTTTGCAACAGAAATGAAGACACTGGGGTTTGAGTCAGTAAAACGATGTATTTTTGCTTGTATTTTGGGGTCTTGGAATGATAGGATGGTAATTGATTTCCTACAACACAATTTAAAACTAAACCAGAACTTTTCCCTCCAAAGTTCGGTTCCTCCTTCCCCAGAGTTTCTTTGCAGGTCAGTTCCAGCAGATTGCTAGACTTCTTCATGGACACCATGCAAATGTAACTCTGCATCCTGAGAGACTTGCTGCTTGATGTAAAATAAGATACACTTGAGCCTGCCTGTGCTGTACTTTTGTTTCTAGAAGTTCCTTTTAGTAATTGCCACTTTTTTTAACTTTTCAGGCCATTTTTACATACCCAGGACATGTACTTTGTTTTTGTTCAACTGTTGTCAAGTGGTTCTGCTTGGTTTGCCATAATCCTCATAGTAGTTGCTTGTTTGTTTCTTGATGTTGTGAAGAAAGTGTTGTACAGACATCTACAACCAACAAGTACTGAAAAAGCTCAGGTAATGTTACGATTTTGTATCCAACTTGATCAATAGTCAAAAGAACATGTTTGTTAAAATCTGTTTTGTAAACTAATTACTTTCCTGTGATATTTAATTATCCTCTTACATTGCTGTCATGTTTAATGCATAAGTGTTCTCATTTCAAAAGATAATTGTTAATTTAAAATTACAAAAATGAGGACACCATTTTACAAGGAAATAACATTTATGTTTAAGTAATTGATATTAACCATAGTAGAATTATTTATAAAGGGGTCACTCAGTCTTTTGCATCTCAGCTTGCAGCTGTATGAGAGGATCATACTACACATTTTTGTATTGCATTAAAGATGGCAACTTATTCTCATTTTTGTCAAGGTATTAGAAGCTCTCTCTTCAACTGTAATTGCACTGAATAGTTCTTAAAATATGATGAAAACTAATTAAAGATAATTACCCATGTGGCATTTTCATGGATTCATAGAAGAGGTCTAAAGATACGCTGTGATAATAGAATCTCCCTTTTGCCTGACACAGGCTACAAAAACTCCTTGAAGTCATTCTGCTGAAATTAGGCTGCCTTTTAGGTAAATCTCATCTATGTTTGAGTGTTTTCTTCTTTTTATTGACAGTTATGGAGAGGTCATCCTGACCCATTGTTCTAATAGTTACTGTCTCTGGTTTCAGTTTTCAGCATTTTATCTTTTTATACTTTCTGCTAAACTGAAAAGCCTTCTATTAGCAATTTTTTGTTTTATTCACGGTTAGGTTTGTGATCAAGCTAATTTTCTCACTGATTAAGTAGATTGGACTTGCATCTCTTGTCAAAAAGGTTATTTTCCAGTCTTTTAATGATTCTTGTGTTTCTCCTGTAATCTTCACCATTCTTCAACCTCATCTTGAATTTTGGATTTCACCAGTGGACACAATATTCCAGCACAGCATACATCAGTGCCAAGTATGGAAATAATGAATCCCCCACCTGTATTCAGTTTACAAAATAATATACATCAATAACCTGTTATCTTCTGCATCTTTTTGTCATCTACAAGTGATTATGTTGGTTTCTTCCAGGTCTTTGATGAGAGGTCCAATAGCATAGGGCCAAAAAAAAATGTGAAAGTGAATGAAGAATCCAGTTGACCAAGATATCCCATATACAGTTATGTTCTGAAACCTGTTAGCAATTTTTTGTGTGCAATACTGATTTTGTGGTGTCCTAGTTACTTAATTCAGATTACACTGAGCTATTTGCCATACAGAACTCTTAACTGCATTACATCAATACTGTTACCTTTAGCATCTAACCTTGTAGTTACTTTGATGTAAGTGCATGTTGATTTACTTAAATTATATTACCCTTCTAATCTGTGTGTTAAAAAAATCCATGTGAGACATTCCCTTAATTTGCCTAGGATCAGCATCATGCTGACAAACCTATTGCTAGCCAGAATATCCCGTTAGTCCCTTTTCAAAACTGGAATATTAGCTGCTTTTTCCAGTCTTGGAATTTAGTAGCTAAAAGCCAAGGTAAATAACCACTAGCTTTCAGAAAACTGTTCAGCTAGACCTGATAAGACTCTTGATTGCATGTTATTGCAGAGTTTTGATTTAGGAGAAATACTATAGATAATGGTAGTTACTTACCTTTTTTTTTTCCCTTCAAAAACTAGTGGCAATATTTATTCCTTCCCTCCTGTACATCAGCTATTTCTATTTGGCGGTGTATCGGTATGGTTGTTGAGGTTTCTCAAGTTCCTAAAGTGCTTGAATTGAAAATCAAAAAGCCCACATCTTTTTTCCCTGGCCTTATCCATGTAATTCTTGTTGCATCCTCTTGCTTTCTGAATCAATTCTAAAGAATTTTCGGGTTCAGTTTGCTTTCATTGCAGTTGTGTCATCAAGGACACAGTTGGACTTCTTATTTTTAAGGAAGAATCTTGATGAATGTCTAGCAGCTTTCCTGTGGCAATAGCGTGATTTGTAGCCATGGGGACTTTGCTTTGTGCATCTCTATTAGTAATCTTTTTTTTTTTTCCTTATTCCTATTCTACTTTGCCATTTGACAGTGTCAGCGTTAGGGTCTGTGTTTACCAAAACACTGTCTTTTTCTGAAAATACTTAATTCCTGATATTGCAAAGTTGAGGTATCTAAAATCTGATTTGACCAAAAATGCTTCAGCAGCCATTCAGTGGTTTCTCTGTGTGTCTGATAATGAAATCATCGTTAAAAATGTATGTGCGAAAAGAAGGCACCTGTTTGTTGCTTTCTTGAAGTTTGATCTTTTGAGATTTTCCCACTCTTTTAATGGGACAATCAGCCCCACTGACTTTCATTGGCTATTCTTGTAGTGAGGAAGTAGACATAAGTGAAGATGAACAGATGACTAACTTAGCACATTTATTGTCAAGGAGTGACAGAATGCTTCTTTCATGATTATACCTCATTAGATTTGTTTAAAATTTCTAGTAAATATTTTTCTTTCCATTTCAAAGCAGAGGGTAGACTGACTTTCAGATAGAATGAGTTTGTCCTAAAAGCTGAGGAATTTTCTGTGGAAGTCATTCGAAGAGTCAATATGGAACTTTGTATATTGTCCTTTAAAATGCGCTTTTCATAGTGTAGGTGCATTTTCTGTATAACTGAATATTTTTAATTGTTCATTTTTAATTGTAGGACTAAGTATATTTGCATATTGAGGGAAAGAAAACCCTTAGTTTACAGTTACTAAGTTTGTATCAGGGCAAGATAAATCGTTATATGACCTAGTCACTAATTTTTTAAATCACAGCTGTTTAAGTGATTTGTTTCTGTCCCCTATCATTTAAATTCTAAAATATTCCCAGGAGCAGTGAACAAAACACAGGTTTCTCAGGCTGAAAATGCTTGCCTCTATTGTTTTAATCTTTCAGAAACTAAGAGCACATACCTGACTTAGTGCTCTGAATTCACTGTATCTGTAGGCATCTGTCTTACTCTACTGAGTATATAAGCAACTTGATTTTATATTTTTTATTTAGTATAAGGTCATAGCATCAACAGTCAATCTGTCTCTCATCAGTTGGATGTTACATGTAGCTAATTTATTCATAAGAGATCAAAGAAATTTAACTGGTATGAGAGAGAAACACTTGAGAAATTCTGCTAAAGAGAAACTTTTAAATGTAAATATTGTTCTGTGTCACAACAACTTGAAAAAAAAAAACCTGTTCCATTTTGAGAAGTCAGTATATTAAAAATTTTACAGGCAAGCATGAGTTGACTTTTATAGAGGGATGAGTGGTTAACTCTACCTTCCTTAATGCACTTAAGGTGCATGTGTGTAACTTTTTTTTTTCCTGTGTTCAGCGGTTTTTTTGCTGGCTTTAAATAAAATCCATCTTATTATGTTTGATATTGGTCTGTTGCCCTGAAGTAGCTTCTGGGTAATTTCTGACTGTAAGTCTGTTACAGAATCATATAGGAGGAAGTGGACAGTAAGGTAAATCTGAATCAAAGTATAAATATTCAGGTAAATATAAATCACAGCACTATTGAGGGCAGAAGGTAATACTGAATAAAGATGTCTGGCAAAGTATAGATGTAAAAGTGTATAGGCCTTTTTTCTCAGATGAAAGCATTTAAGAATGGTCCTACCAAACAGTAACTGGCTGTGATGATCATGGGAGCTGTCCTGAAGGTACCAGGCTTGTGTTCTGTATATGATGTGTATTCCACTTAAATAACAGTGTCTTGTCCTGTGTCTTTCTCTTAGAAAATTACTGCTGCTACTTACTGACATGTATGTTCCATCCCTTCTCTGTCCAATTGTAGATGTACTCCAACAGAGTTGCTTTAAGTGACGAGTTCATCGCACTGCAGCCATTGTCCAGGGCAAGGAATCAGCTGAGCAAAATTAGGTAGAGTAGGAGGGACAGTTCCTCATCAACTCTTATGCATGCTGAAGGTGAACTAACCAGTGCTGAGAGAGATGGGAAGAGGCATGAACATTAGTGGGTTGAGAGGGCAATACCTGTAGTGCAGATACACTCAGTTTGGTTATTTCTTGGCTTTGCTCTGTGTTTTTGAGCCAAATGCTTCTCCTAAGTAGCATGTGTTGGACGTGCTTTTTTTAGGAAAAAACATCCCTAGCATGATGCTCAACTTTCAAAATACGGATCTAGCTCTTCTTGCATCCATTTTTAAATAATCACAGTTTCTAGCATGGTTATAATGCTTTTAATTTCTTTATGATCAAAATTAACAGTGCTTTTTGCATGTTGGATAATTTCAGCTTCATAAGGCTGTGACAGGAAGGTCCATGTATTTCAGGCAGCGATTTCTTGCGAGTTGTTTGCCCGTTTTAATTTGCTTTCACTTGTGTTGAAAGGGCAGAAAATGTTTTAAGTTTGGGTGCGTACATACACTTGTGCGGCTAAGGCTTGTTGTGTTTGTTTTGTGCATCTATAAAGTGAGTGTTGTTTGTTTTCAATGTGTATGGATACATATTCCTAAAGGCATTTGGCTACAAAGTCCTAGAAAATTATTTAAAAAAAAGATCAAAGCATTCATGTGCCTGTGTAGGTGAACCATTATGATTCTGAAACTCTTCAATGCACTGAGTTCAGTACATGAAATACTATCAAATGCTGATTTTCATTTGTAAGACTAAAACATTCACATGCATCAATAATGTTTCAATCTGTTTGATGTTTTATCCCACTTTTATCTACTTCTATATTCTATAGCAAGAATTAATGCAAAGAACTGATTCCTTTTAAATACTTTTTAAGGTGACTGTGTTGTTTAAAAACATGCAAATAGGTGTTAGGAGAACCAACCAACCTACGTTTTTGGGACCTAGTTGCTGTTTGTTTAACTGAGGGAAAGTAGGAGGCAGGAAGCTGACATTGTAAACGGTTAGCAGAGCATTTTTAGTGGTTAATTGAAACAGAGAGTACAAGCCCTTAAAGAGGTGGGGGGTGGGGGATGGGGGCAGGAAGAAGAAAGCTTTGTATTTCCTCTGGAAGTGTGCTAT